AAGTGAAATTCTTATCATATAAAGTTAACCATTTTGAAGTGTACAATTCAGTGGCTTTTAGTATATTCATGATGTTGGGCAGCCATCACCTCTTATCTTGCTCCATTTTTTTTTTCATCACCTCAGAAGGAGAACTCGCACCCATTTTCCCTGGCTTTGGGCTTCACTCCTCATTTCTCCCTCCAGCGAGCCCCTCGCAATCGCCAATCTACTTTCCGTCTCTGTGGATTTGCTTGTTCTGCACATTTCATAGCAATGGAATCACACACTATGGGGGTTTTTTGGTCTGGCCTCTCTCACGCAGCATGCTTTTGAGATTCATCCACGTTGTAGGAGCTTCGTTTCTTTTTTATGGTTGAATAACATTCCATTGTGTGGATGGACCACATGTATTCATCCGTTTACCCACTGATGGACACTTGGGCTGTTTCCACTTTCCTGCAGTTGCGAGTAGGACTGCTATGAACACAGGTGTACATGTGTCTGTCTGAGTCCCATGTACCCAGGTGTACATGTACCTGGTTTCAATTCTTTTGGATATACACTAGGAGTGGAGTTGCTGGGGCATAGGGTAATTGTATGCTTCGATTTTTGAGGAACTGTCAAACTGTTTTTCTTAGCGGCCGCACCATTTTATATCCCCATCAACAGTGCATGATGGGATCTCTCTCTCTCTTTTTTTAAATCTTTGCCCCTAAAAGTCTGTCATGAGCTTCTGGAGCCCAAGAAAAAGCCCTTCCCTCACCCCAGCCATACTCCACCTTTACCCACTTCCCGATGTCTTTCTGCTACCATCTTCCTAATCCAGCCACTGCCTCTACTTTCATCCTCCCACTCTGATCATAATCATTGGGACCTTGGCTGCTGCCAGGCCAAGGCCTCTGGTGACCTGCTAACCACATAGTCCTGTTTCCTCCTGGGGCCATGGCTCTTTGACCTCTGGGCACAGGTGAGGGCACCTATTACCACTCTTTCTCAACCTTTCAGACGTAGCTGTCTCCACTTCCAGTGCCGTGCCTCTGCCTGTGCTCGCCCTAAATGCAGCTTCTGTTTCCTCCCCCACTTCTTGTCCTCCTCCTCCCCTGAGTGGCCTCACTGACCCACTCCAGGGCATCCGCTGTCTTCCCAGTCGGGTGACTCACAGACACACTCCCGAGGATGGGCCCAGCTACCTCCTGGGTATCTCCCTGAACAGCCAGCCCACCGGCCCTTTATTTATTTAAAAATATATATTTTATTGATTTTTTACAGAGAGGAGGGGAGAGGGATAGAGAGCCAGAAACATAGATGAGAGAGAAACATCGATCAGCTGCCTCCTGCACACGTCTCACTGGGGCTGCCTCCTGCACACCTCCTCCTGGTGATGTGCCTGCAACCAAGGTACATGCCCCCGACCGGAATCGAACCAGGACCCTTCAGTCCACAGGCCGATGCTCTATCCACTGAGCCTAACTGGTCAGGGCCCACCGGCCTTTTAGACTCAAGGTAGCCCAGAGTGCCCCAACCTCAGCATGGATGACAGCTGGGGCCAGATCATTCCCTGGGGTGGGGGCGTCTTATGCATTGTCCAGTGTTTGACAGCATCTCGAGCCTCTCCCTGGTAGATGCCAGTGGCACCTCCCCCTCCACAGTGTGACAACCAGCCTCTCCGGACATTGCCCGATGCCCCCCGAGGGGACAATGGCCCTGGTTGAGAGCCTCTAAGACAGTGCAAATCAAACGGCAAACTTGACGTGCTGAAGTTTGTCCAGACCAAGCTGTGCGCACCCGTAACCACCACCTCATCTTGTGATCATCTCTTCTATTATTTCTATGTGGGATGGCGGTTCACAGTGATCACATGTCTTGCCTCAGGTCACATGGCCAGGAGCCCTACTCTCAGTGACTCCTCATCCCCAGGACCTTTCACTTGTTTCTCCTTCCATCTCTGAGGGCAGAGAAGCTGGGCTGACACCCTCTTCTCCACTCCTTTGCTCCCTGGAACCCCACATTCAGCCAGTCAGCAATGCGGATGTCTCCCACATCCTTAAAACAATCCACACCCTTCAAAAATCAATAATGTTTATTTTTTAAATTTTAAATATATCTTTATTGAGTTCAGAGAGGAAAACAGAGAGAGAGAGAGAGAGAGAGAGAGAGAGAGAGAGAGAGAGAGAGAGAGAGAGAAATATCAATGATGAGAGAGAATAATTGATTGGACACCCTCCACTAGGGATCAAGCACGCAACCTGGGCATGTGCCCTGACCGGGAATTGAACCATGACCTCCTGGTTCATAGGTCGACACTCAACCACTGAGCCACGCCAGGCGGGCTGTAAAGTGTTTTAAAACAACCAATCGGAATGGGGCTTTCCCCATGCTCAAGCACCATCTGCGATTCCTTATTTCCCAGATCAACCCTCAGCCACTGGGATTGGCCTTCAAGGCCCTTCACACCCACCCCTGACCCCTCCAGCCTCCTCCACTCCCACATCCCCAGGCCAGGGAAAGCCATCTGCCCAGCCACACCCTCGGCTTCTCTCTGTCTGAGCCCCACCCCCTCTACCGCACCTGTTGAAATCCAACCTCTCCCTGAAGTACCAGCTCAGATGTCACATCCTTCACGTAGCCTCCCTGGCCTCCCTTCTGCCTCCTCCAAGCAGCAAAGCCTCAATTATTTGTAATACCCTGTCTTCACCTGAAAACGCTGCCCCTCCCACCCTGGCCAAGGGCCCAGCACCGAGTGAAGGAGCATTATTGAAATGAAGAGTCCAAGTGTACCACCTGCTAGGGCAAGGGGGCATCTTACACTTGTTCTTATTTTATTTTATTTTATTTTATTTTATTTTATTTTTCAGAGAGGAAGGGGGGGAGAGAGAGAGAGAGACCAATGATGAGAGCGAATCACTCTCATCTGATGGGCTGCCTCCTGCACACCCCACACCAGGGATAGAGCCCACAACCTGGGCATGTGCTCTGACCGGGACTCGAACTGTGACCTCCTGGTTCAATCACCGAGCCACGCCCGCTCGCCAGCTAAGCTTACACTTGTTTTTAAATTCTCTCTTTTAAGTTTTGAGCTATCTGCTTCTTGTTTTCTGGAATTTGTGAAAAGATTGGTGCCCTAATATTTCCCAAAGAGATCTTGAGCTTCTTCTTCCATCTTTGTTAAATCAGACAGATGGTGTCTGATTCTGAAATTTCAGCTGTTCACAATCCTCTGTCACCATTTTGCCCCACCTATGTAATATGTTTCCATTACTGAATTAATGGTTTTCTTTTAGTGGTTTTCCTTTTAAACCTTACTTATTTTTAAAAAACTTACATCACTGTTATACCAACAAGACTGTGTTTTTTTACTCATTAAACCAAGTCTCTCATGTAACATAAATATATAAAATAGAAAATGTTCCTCCGTGTGGTATCTAAAATTACTAGTCTTGCCCAGCCAGCATGTTGACATTTGGGATTACAGTCTGTTGTGAGAGACTGCCCTGTGCACTGTGGGGTGTTTAGCAGTATCCCTGACCTCTACCCACTAGATGCCCACAGCACTTCCACCCCCAGGTGTGATGGCCTAACCTGTCTCCAGACATTGCCCAATGTCCCCTGGGGGGGAGCAGAATTGCTTTAGGTGAGAACCACTGTACTAAAGCGCTACAACAGCCTTCTGTGGTTCACAGGGAGTATGTGATGGAGCTATTTGGACCCTCTGCTTCCAGAGTCCACGCTCTAACCACTGTGTGACAGGGCCTTCCATGTGGCCTTGGTCCCGGGCTCTGTCCTCTGAGAGTTCAGCACTGCTGGGGACTTGCTTCACCTCTCGGCCCCATCCACCAAACTAACCAGCCCCAAGGTCAGACCTCCCACCTGGCTGGCTCACCTGCCAGGCACTAAGTCTGTAACTGCATCCAGAATTTATTTTTGATAAATCAAAAGACTTTGGAATAGCCATCCTGGGGAAAACATCTGCACTTCCTTTCTTCAGCTTTTTAGGGTTTTAACTTTTGAACTCATTGTTTCCTCATAGCTTCAGGCTCCTCCGTGTTTGACCTGGCCCCTGCCTGAACCCAGACAGTCACACCTCCCCTTGAGCCCGCAGCCCGTGCCTCAGTTTCCCCAGATGGGCTGGCAATAATAGTTGGAGCCTTTGCTCTTTCTAGCCTCCTGTGGCTGTCTCCCTCACCCCCACCCCCCCACCCCCCTCACTCCCGGCCTTTGACAGATATTTCCTGGGCATCTGGTTTGCTGGGCCCTGAGGAGACCGAGGAGAGTCAGAGGCCAACTGTGAGTCCTCCCTTCTGCCTGCCCACTTGCCCAGGTCAGCCAGCCACCCACCCACCCACCCAAGAATGGTATCTCTGTCACATCCGGAGGTGGGGCTGACCCTGTCTGGACACACCCGGAGCAGAGGGGCTGGCCAAAGACAATGATAGGATCAAAGGAGGGTCAAGGTGGCTGGCATGGGGAGGGTGGGGTGGGAGGAGCAGAGCCAGAGTCTGGTGCTGCTTGCTGAGGCCAGAGGTTTTCCTGGAGGGAGAGCCGCAGAGCCCCAGGGGCCTGGGCTGGACCCAGGATGCAGAGGGAGCCGAGGGCCGGGCTCCCAGAGGTTGGTGGAGTCTGGGTTCCTGGTGGCCACAGAGGAGGCTCCTGGGGGCTTCTGGGGATCAGGGGTGCTGACTTAGGGACCCCTGTCCAAGCTGGGGAGCAGGCCCTGAAGTGGGGGCCTTGAGGAGTGCTGGGATGGGAGATGGGTGTTGAGGGAGGATGGAGGAGGAGGACCCCGGCACCGGCAGGAGCAGGGGGCGAGGGGCCTGAGCGTTTGCGGTTTCTGGGTGTCCGCACGTCTCTTTCGCTGTCTCTCTGCGTCTTTCTCTCCATCTCTCATCTCTCCAACTCGGTGCCTGCGTCTTTCCCTTCCCGCCACTCTCCATACCTCCCCGACTCTGTCTCTCCTGTTCTCTCAGTTCCCGGGGGCCGCGCCTGGTCCCCGCCCAGAAGCCGGCGAGGCCGGGGGCGGGCCGGGGCGGGCCTGAAGGGGCGGCCGGGCGGAGTTAAAGGGCCGGGCCGCGGGCCGGTGCGTTCAGAACCGAAGTGGCGACGCCGGGGATTCCGGATTGAGGGCCTGAGGCCGAGACCCGAGGGGTAAGTGCAGACGGAAGGAGGGTGGGGGGCGGTGCGTAACCCGATCGCGCCCTGCGCTGGAACCCGAGGCGCGCCGGCTCCCGGGCTGTCGGGGCTGGTGCGAGGGAATGCGCGGCGGCCTCGTGGATCCCGGGACTCAGGACAGAGCTGCGCGTCCGGGACACTCAGGTTCGCGGGGCCGGGGGGTGGGGTTGTGGTGTGTCCCAGACGGTCGCTACTTTTGAGCGCAGACTTTTCTGTGCCCGTCGAGGAGTCCTGGGTGCATCCTTTCTGGGTGTCCGAGGTGGGCAGGGGCCTCAAGAAGACCCACCCCATTCTGCTCGCCCCCACGCCCCCCCATCAGGCTCTGCCCTGTGCCGCCTCCTGAGGGCTGATTGACATCAGTGGGATTTCATTGTCTTAAAAGGGAGGCTGTGCGTCCCGCCGACTTTATGCTCCGCCCCGCCTGCCCACCCATAGCAGGCACGGGCCGCTGAGTGGCCCTGTATGAAGGCAGGGCGCCCTCCTGGGCCCCCAGAGGTAGCTGTGAGGGTTGTGTGAGGTCCTGCAGTGGATCCTAGCTGGTGTTTGTTGGATGCTGGTGACGCGATGCTCTCTGGTGTCCCAGGGGCCAGCCTCTCACTCACCCCTTGGACCAGGCGGTAGCTAGCTGTTCCGCCACCATGCCAGGCGGGGGAGGCCCACCAGCTGGGGAGTATCAGGCGCTGAAGGTTGGGGGAAGACAGAGCAACAGTGGGTGAGCTGGGATTTGAACAAACCAGCCTTGTGTGACCCCAACATCCTCGGCACTTTCCAATGGCCCTGGCCTCTCTGTCTGTATGGCCCGGCTTGGGTTTCTAAGCGGTAACATTAGCTCTGGCCTGGCAGCCGCTGGTGACCTGAGTAGGTATCTGCAGATGGGGCTTGCATGACACAGGAGCCATTCAGAAAATGCGACCCTCACTCTCCTCTCCAGCAAGCCTTGGGCCCTGTTCTACAAATACCAGGCGGCCGGGTAACAACCCTGAGTCTGACGGTGGCACTAACAGCAATGAGAGGTTCGATCAAGGGCTTACTGTGTGCCAAGCACCAAGCTGAGCACGTTAAAAATGCTGGGTTGTCCTAACAGCGTCACGAAGCGGGTACTATGGCTCCTGTCTTCCTGAAGAGGAGATCAGGCTCAGAGTGGCATAGACACTCGCCCGAGGTCACACAGCAGAGGTTTATAGAATTCTTTCTGAGTCTCACATGTCAGCGTGGCCACACTTGCCCCGGATGGTGCTCACAGGCCATTGCAGCCCTGGGATGATCTAGGTTACGACTGGTGGCTTTAACACGTCTTCCTCTGCCAAGATCTCCCACAGTGTGCCCAATGCTGCAGCGAGACTCCCCCCTCCCCACGCCAACTTGTCCACTTGACCCTGCCCTCCGAACTGCCCCTGAAGTTCTTTCTCAGAACCTCGGAAATCTGGGGTAAGCTCTCTCTCCGTCGGGCCTTCTGGGGCCTGGCACTTTGGGAGAGTATGAGTCTTGGGTGGGGCAGCCCTTTGGCAAAGAGGGGGTCAAAGAGGTGCCATGCGTCAGAATGGGGGAGTGGAGAACAGAGGTGGTGTGTGGGGCAGTGGGACCAGTGTCATGTGCTGGGCTGTCAGGCTGCCGGTGCGCCCCAGCACCTGTGCTTCAAGGAGAGGCAGATAGACGGTTTCCGGCAGGTCAGGGTCTCTGTCCTGAATTCCTTCCTAGGAGCCCACACACCTTGTATGACAAGTCCTCCACTGGCGGCCGGGCTAACCTGACAAACCAGAGCTCCATGGGCGTGGGCCTTGGAGCCACTGGCACCTCCATCTCCAGATAACATGGGGCCGTCGCAGGACAGGCGGGGCTACCTCTGCCAGGGCAGGGCTGCTGCGTGCCCTGCCTGGGTCTGGGATGAGCTTGAGGGCTGGTGCAGAGGGGAGTGGGTATGCCGGCCTCCCACAGCATCCTGTGTGTCACTTCCATAGAAGAGTAACAGCAGAATTAGGGACAATGGCTAAAATTTTGCAGGCTACCCGCTAAGCCTCACCTCACCAAAGTGTGCCAAACAACCTTAACAGGGAGGTCCTGCTATTTGTAACCCATTTTCCAGATCGGTGAGTGGAAGCTGAGAGTGGGGACTAGGCTCACTCCAGGCTGCTGCTTTACTGGGGATGAGCAGGGTCATGATTTTGAACCGAGGCTTGTTTGAGCCTACACCTCACATTTTACAGGATGATGCCATGCCCAACCAACATTTTCTTTTCTTTGGAGTTGAAGTGTAATGTCCATACAGGAAAGTGCACATTCCAGGACTGGACCGTTCAGGAGTTTTCTCAAGTTGAAACCACACATGTCATCAGACCCAGGTCAGGAGAGGGAAACCTGCCGGCGCCCCACACCATGATCCTCCCCGCCAATGAAAGCATCTTAACTCATATTTTCATGGATTTCAACTACTTAATTTTAAATTAGACCTGAATTTTTATATATATATATTTTTTATTGATTTTTTACAGAGATGAAGGGAGAGAGATAGTTAGAAACATCGATGAGAGAGAAACATCGATCAGCTGCCTCCTGCACATCTCCTACTGGGGATATGCCCGCAACCCAGGTGCATGCCCTTGACCGGAATCGAACCTGGGACCTTTCAGTGCGCAGGCCGATGCTCTATCCACTGAGCCAAACCGGTTTCGGCAAGACCTGAATTTTTTAAAATATATTTTATTGATTTTTTACAGAGAGGAAGGGAGAGGAATAGAGAGTTAGAAACATTGATGAGAGAGAAACATTGATCAGCTGCCTCCTGCACACCCCTTACTGGGGATGTGCCCGCAACCAAGGTCCATGCCCTTGACCAGAATTGAACCCGGGACCCTTCAGTCCGCAGGCCGATGACACTCTATCCACTGAGCCAAACCGGTCAGGGCTAGACCTGATTTTTTTAAGAGACGTTTTAGACTTACAGAAAAATACGTAAGAAGTATTGAGTTCCAGCACACCCTTGCAACTCCCTACGATTTCCTGTTTAGTAACGTTTTTGAACAGGCAATATGTGCTTACGGTTTAGAAAATCAAAAAGCCCCTAGAAACGAAGAGGGAAAGTTAAGTCTCCCTTTCACTCCTGCCCCCAGTTCTTCCAGGCCTCTTCCGGAGGCAGCCACCGTGAGGAATTTCACATGGGTCCTCGAAACACATTTTGTATTATTATTATTATTATTATTTTTTTGCCTCACCTTTGTCTCCTCAGTGTCCAGAACAGAGTCACACACATAGCAGGGGCTGCCACATGATTTGCCACCTGAGTGCTGGAGAAATGCATGCAGAGCCCCTGGCGAAGGGCTGGCATGTGGACGCATTCAGAGGGAGAGCAGGATGCCCAGTAGCCATCACTCTCGGGCTTCTTGGCATCGCCGGGGGAATCGTTATCCACCGTGAAATCGGTAAAGAAAGAAATACCCACGGCTGCTTCCTGCCGAGCGTGTCGCCCCGAGCTGCCCGAGCGGGAGGCAGCCCAGTGGCACGTCATCGTCCACAAGTCGGAGCATCTGCCTGGGGCTTGTGGCTGTGCTTCATTTTGGGGGGTTGCCCACACCCCACCCCCACCCTACCTGGACCTTTTACGGGATAGATCCCCTCTACCAGGCAGTCTGTATTTTTTTTTTTTAAAGGAGTTTAAATTGTGGTCAAATACACATAACATTTAGGATCTTAACCATTTTAAGGGTACACTTCAGTGCCATTGAGTGCGATCATATGACTGTGCAACCATCACCACCATCCATCGGCGGAGCCTTTTCATCTTCCGAGACTAAAACTCTGTTCCCATGAAACACTAACTCCCCATCCCTCCCCCCTCCTCCCCCCACACTCCCCCCGCCAGCCCCTGGCACCCACCCTTCTACTCTCTGTCTCTAGGAATGGGACTACTCTCGGGACCTCATGGAAGTGGACCTCACAGTATTTGTTTCTGGTGTGACTGGCTTATTTCACTTAACACAATGTCCTCGAGGTTCATTCATGTTGTGTTATGTGTCAGAATTTACTTTCCAGGGCTGAGTGATAGTCCGTTGTATAGATGCACCCCATTTCGTTTATCCATTCATCCTGCTATGGACACTTGGGTTGCTCCCACCTATTGGCCATTATGAGTAAGGCTGCTGTGGACATGAACGCACAAATATCTGAGCCCCTACTTTTGCTGCTTTTAGAGATCCATCCAGAAATGGGATTGCTGGAACATACGGCAATTCTGTATCATTTCTTTTGAGGAACTTCCATACTGTTTTCCACAACCTGGCTGTACCATGTTACATTCCCAGCGGCAATACATATGCATTTCGGTTCCTCTGCATCCTGGCCAGCACTTGTTATTTCCTGTTTTGGATAGTAGCCATCCTAACAAGAGTTCGTGTCATCTTCGTTTTAAGTCAGACCATCCCAGTGGGCCTCTCCAAATTTGGTGATGATCTACCCAGATCTTTTCCCAGGATGCAGTGACCAATAGAAACTTCATGTTTCCTGCACGGTTGATGTGGCTGGACGTCAGCGGGTGGAAGAGCCTGGGAGCCTGACCTGAGGGGGCACCACCAGCTGGAGTGGGTGGGGACTGAGGCTCAGGTGGGGACCTGAAGTGCAGGGTTTCTTCATCTGTGTTGCCGGGGGAAGTAGGAGCGTAGAGGGAACCCTGTCTGGTAGGACTGGGTAGAAAGAAGAGGTGAGGACAGGACCCACCCTTTCAGGAATCCCCTTGCCATTGCCTGAGATCCATGGGCTCTCCCTGTGAGGGCGATTGAGGTTGATCTCTGATGGGGTCTTCTGGGGCCAGCTCTTGTCTCCCTTGAGCTGGGGGAACGGACGTTTAGTTGTCTGGAAAATAGAGAGAATGAGCCCGGCTGGTGTGGCTCAGTGGTTGAGCACTGACCCATGATCCAGGAGGTCACAGTTCGATCCCAGTCAGGGCACATGCTTGGGTTTCAGGCTCAATCCCCAGTGTGGGGTGTGCAGGAGGCAGCCGATCAATGATTTTCTCATCATTCATGTTTCTATCTCTTTCTCCCTCTCCCTATCTCTGAAATCAATAAAACATGTTTTTTGGTTTTTTTTTTTAAAGAAAAGAAAATAGAGAGAATGATAATGATGGGACCTCCCTCTAAGGATTGATTTAAGATTCCATGAGACAGCGTGTAGTCAGGGCACCGGTTCTGGTCACTGAGTTATTATTATTGTTACCCGCCCACCTTGTTTTGGTTGGTTGCTTCAGGAGCTGACCCTAGATCAGGGATTTGAGGGCAAGCAGTTTATCTGGGAAGTGATCCCAGAATAAGCCGGTAGGCAAGGAGGATGTGAACCTGAAAGAAGTGAAAACAGGGACTCAAACAAATACATGTCCACACAGATGCATAGCAGCACATGTCCCAATAGGCAAAAGGTGGAGACATCTAAGATGTCCATCAACAGATGAATGAATAAACACTTTGTGATATATCCTTACCATGGAAAGTCGCTCAGCAGAAGAAATAAAGCGCTGACGCATGTCACAACGTGGATGAGCCTCCAGAACATCATGCCGAGTCCAAACACAGGTCACATGTGGTATGACTCCATTGATATGAAATGTCCAGGACAGGTGATTACACAAAGACAGCAAGTAGATCAGTGGCTGCCAGGGGCTGTAGGTATGGGGGGAATGGGGAGCTCAGGGGGACGGGGTTTCCTTTTGGGGTGATGACAACATTTTGGGACTAGGTAGAGGTGATGGTTGCACAAGAGTGTGAATGCACTAGGTGCCACTGGACTGTGAACTTTAAAATGGTTCCTTCTATGTCGTGTGACCCTTATCTCCATTTAAAGAAGGAGGAGGTGAAGGTGGAGGAGGCCGAGGAGGAGGAGGAGAAAGCAGTAGAGCATTTCACAGAGAAACTTTCTATTGTGACCAGCTGGAGTTTAACCCCGTTGGTAGTGCACGTGGAACCCACACCTCAGGGTCATTGCACCCAAGGGGAGAAGGCGCTGGCGTCTTTATCTAGCAATGCTCCCCCGTCATTGATGAGAGCTGCTTTGGGGGCAGGGTGTGTCTTCATTTTCCAGCACCGTGACCAGCCGCGGGGGCAGAGAAGTCAGGAGGGATGTCCTGCAAAGTCAAGGCTGAGGGCATGTGGTGGGGCTCTGGGGCATCCGTCTGGCCAGCTGGCGGAGACCACTGCTGAGGGCAGGAGAGAGATGTACTCTTGGCCTCTGGGACTTACACGTATTGAGCACCTACTGTGTGCCAGGCACACCAGGCTTGACTCCACAGGCCACTGTGCATGTGCATATGGCACACGGGTGGCCAGAGGGCGGTTTCCATCGGCACTGACCCCTACCCCGTGTGTCCCCCCAGGATGCTGCCCATCACGGAACACCTGCTGCGCCTGCTGGGACTGGAGAAGACCACCTTCCGCTTGTATGCCGTGTCCGCGCTCCTCCTCTCCCTGCTCTTCTTCCTCTTCCACCTGCTGCTGCGGTTCCTGCGGCTCTGCTGGCACTTCTACGTCACCTGCCGCCGGCTGCGCTGCTTCCCCCAGCCGCCCCGGCGCAACTGGCTGCTGGGCCACCTGGGCATGGTGCGTGTGGGCCGGGCGGGCAGGGCTGGGCGGATCCCACGCATTCAGGGAGCCTGATGGACTGTTGGCTTCCCTCATCCCCGCCCCCCCCCCCCCCCAAGACTGGTTGGAGCCAGGATGTAAGACTGAGGCTCAGAAAAGGGCAAGCAGTTTGCCCAAGGTCACGTGGCTGGGATGAGGCAGAGCTTACTGCAAAGCTTTCTCTGTAATTCCAGGCTATGGCTGTACCTTTCATATGCTATAGGTTATATCCTGTGATATAATAAGATTTCATATTCAGAATACAAGCACCAATGCCTGTGAAGTTCATCAGATTCTAGGGCCCGGGTGGGGGATGAGGGGGGCATGGTCCTGTAGATTTTGTTGCTCCATCCCCAACCCCAACTTGGTTCCATACTTTATCTCCCTCTTTAATGCTGTAGTCCCAGGTCACGGTGCCAACCCTTTCCTTGCATTTCATTTCATTTCTTTCTTTCTTAATCCTCACCTGAAGATATATATTCTGTGAAAAGTTGGTTGGGCATCGTCCAGCGCACCAAAAGGTTGCCAGTTTGACTCCTGGTTGGGACACATACCAGGTTGCAGGCTGGATCCTTGGTGCATGGTGTGCAGGAGGCATCCGGTCAATGTTTCACTCTGATATTTTGCTCTCATATTGATGTTTCTCATTCTTCCTCTCCCTCTCTCTCTAAAAATCAATAAATTGAACAAAAAGATTCTTTAAAAATTTGATTTGAAGGAGAGAGGGAGAGAGAGGGAGAGAGAGAGAGAGAAAGAAACATGGATGTGAGAGAGAAAGCTCTATCGGCTGCCTTCTGTACTTGATCGAACCCGCAACCTTTCGGTGCTTGAGATGACACTCCAATGAACTCAGCCACCCAGCCAGGGCACATTTTATTTCTTATTTCACATGTATGTGCCAAGTATTATGCCAGACGATTTATAAATGTTTACTCCTTTAGTCTTCTTGACAATCCTAGGAGGTAGGTCCCTTTACTATCCTTACTCTGCACCTGAAAACACTGAGGCTCAGAGAGCTGAAGTGACTGGCTCTAGGTCACACAGCTTGTGAACGGCAGAGCCGGAGTCCAAACCGCTCTCTGGCTCTTAGCTCTCTTCCCTCTGCTACCTCTATTTTCTTTTTTTAAAAAAATATATATTTTATTAATTTTTTTTACAGAGAGGAAGGGACAAGGATAGAGAGTTAGAAACATCGATGAGAGAGAAACATCGACCAGCTGCCTCCTGCACACCCCCTACTGGGAATGTGCCCGAAACCAAGGTACATGCCCTTGGCTGGAATCGAACCTGGGACCCTTCAGTCTGCAGGCTGACGCTCTATCCACTGAGCCAAACCGGTTAGGGCCTACCTCTATTTTCTGGATAAGAAAGGCTGGGTTTTTCTAGAAGGACTTCACAGGCCAGGGGAGAGAAGTCCAGAGTTCTGAAGGCTCTGAGGCCCCATGCTGAGTGTGGAAGAGGACTTGGGAGAGGGAGCATGGACCTGATGCCCTTATCGACCATCTACTGCCTGTGTGGCCTTGGGCAAGCTCCTTCCCCCTCCAGACCTCAGTCTTCCTATCTGTATTGCAAGGACTGTGCTCATGCCTCATAGCCTCATGGGATTGTTTTGATGATTCCAGCAGTCACCTCTGGGGCGGGCTTGGCACGGAACCGGCTACACAATGGTGCAGCTCAGCGTCTGGGTCCTGCAGGGACAGAAACATCTAGAAACATTTTAGATACTGCTTAGAGGGAGTGTCTCAGAAGAAGGAAGTGGGAGATGCACTTCCACTCAATAGTACAAAGAACATTTATTTAGCTTATTTTTTGGAATTATCCCCCTGGGGCCAGCACTTGTCAGGTTTTGCCTGTTTGTGCCTGAATCCCATCCCTCTCTTCCATCCTCACCTCTGCTCAGGCCTCATGCCCCCCTCCTCCCTGGACCCCTGCCTCCAGTCTCACTTCTTCAGTCCATCCCTCATCCTGTCTCTAGAGGGATTCTTGAATCCACCATGTCCCTCCCCTGCTCACACACACCCCATGGCTTCCCACTGCTGTCTGAAGGTGTTCAGGGCCCTTTCTGCTCCAGCTCCTCCCCTCCTCCCCTGTCCCACCAATCCCCTCCCATCCCATGGAATGACTTCCTATTCCTGTCACAAGACGCCCACTTCCCCCCCATTCATGGCCTTTGCTGAAACTGTGCCCTCTGCCCAGAATATAATTTCCTGTTAGAAGAACTTCTACTCATCTTTCATGCTGAATCTCCAATGCCCTTACTCCTCTGGTTTGGATGGTGGTCCTATAGGTAGGCCGATCCTGATAGAGAAGGAGACATCGCAGCCACAGAGGAGTCATGTGTTCATTTATTCATTCTATAATTGCTGGGCCTTACCACTGGCCAGGCACTGGGTTAGGCCCCTTCGGATCTGAGCTCTCCCCTAATTCTCACAGCCTGTGAAATAAGGATGGATCTGCCCTATATTATGGACTCCATCTTTGGGGCTCAGAGAGGTTAAGTGACTTGCCCAAGGTCACACAGTGGCTGAGGGTGGATTTGAGTTCAGATGCATCTGACATTGAGCCTGAAGTGTTTCTGTTTCATAGAGCATGTTGGTTCAGAGCGGGCGTGTTGTAGCCGGGTGGCCTGTGTTCAAATCCTGGCTCCGCCATAACGGCCAGTGGTGCCCAGTGCCTGTCCATATCCTCTGGGCCCATTTCTGGGTGCAATGGCCTGACTTCCGCTGCCAGCACCTGTGTTCTAGGACTTTTTCCAGCAGCAGGGGCCCACTCTGCCGTGTGGACGGCGAGCCTGAAAGTTAAAACCCCAGGAGGGCTCTCAGCCAGTGACTACGGGACCGTGTGAGCTGGTGGGTTGACGCTGAGATACGTGTCCCCACAGGGGTCCCTCGTGGCACCGAGCCCTGGTTGCCCATGTGGTCACTTTCTTGACAACTTATTTTTTGCTGGCTATCTTCCCTGCCTCTGTTGCTTCCCCCCTTCCCCATGTTTTTGGGGATCACCCAAATAAACTACTTGCCCTAGAACTCTTATCTCAGGACCTGTTTCTGGGGAGGCCAAACCAGGACAGCCACTTACCTGTAACTTCAGATAAAGTAAAAAGGGGAAATAGTAGCAATTCTGTCACTGGGTTCTTGGGTGGGTTGAACATATAAATCTGTGAAAAACGCCCCAAACAGCGCCCAACATTGCAAGAACACGCATGTGTTAAATATGATAATACTAGGAATAGTTTATTACTAACAGAGCAAAAACTTGATAAATACCAACCATTATCATGAACGTGTTTACTGTGCCTGTTTTTATTTCTTGAGCATCAGCTGTGTGTCAGGCCCCGCGTTGGGGTTCTGATGCTTTGGTATCCCATGAATTCTCTCAGCTGTCCTCAGACAGAGAGTTGATTCTTCCCCACTTTTCAGATGTGGAAGTGGAGGCTCAGTGAGGTGCAGCCACTGTCTGCAGTCGTATAGTCCTTCTCGGCTTGTTTGGGGTGCAGGGAGGCGGCAGGGGGGAAGGACTGGCAAAAGCTGGGGCTGGACACCTCCTCACTCTCCTTTCCTACCACCCCCACAGTACCTCCCAAATGAGATGGGCCTCCAGGATGAGAAGAAGGTGCTGGACAACATGCACCATGTGATCTTGGTGTGGATGGGACCTGTCTTGCCACTGGTGGTTCTGGTGCACCCTGATTACATCAAACCCGTGGTGAGCGCCTCAGGTAGGTGGTCTGGGCCTCTGAGTGATGGGTAAACCCTCAACTCCCAGAGTCCACCAGGGCTTCTAGGCAGGTGGGCTATCCAGAATAAGGGTCATTTGAGTAGGGCTTTGAAGAATGAATAGGAGCTCGCCAAAGCAGAAATGGCAACACAGAGAGTGGGAATAGCATGGGAAAAGGTATGATTAATAGAGTCCCAGGAACTTTAAGAGAATGCCCATCCACTGGGAAGTCAGACGCAAACAGGTTTGGATAAGTAGTTGTTTGCCCAAGATTTTGTTAACTGGTTATTGCTTAATTCTAATGGCACTCCCATCATTTGGGTTCTGACTATCCCAACCTATAGCCTGCTTTCTTCACTTGGGCTGACTCTGACTGGCGGAGAGAGAGATCTAGAAGGATTGTTTCTTTCTTCTGCAATCCACACCCACCCCATTGTGTAGGGCTCCCAAGTGTGCGTGGTAAGCTCTTGCTCAGCCTTCAACACCCAGTTCCAATGACCCCCCTCCCCTCCTCCTGGAAGGTTTCCCCGACTCCCCAGCAGACCATACCCCTCTCTCTGGGACTTTCCCATTCTCAGTCCACACTGTTTGGGGTTGAGTGTGTCTGTCTCTGTCTTCAGTGTGGTCTCGCATGTAGGTAGCTGGGCACCTTCAAAAGCATCAGGGGGCATTTGAGAGAACAGGGATGAGAAAGAAAGAGTCCCAGGCGTTTTAGGATCTCTTGCCTCAGCTTGGGCCTCTACAAACATACGTCTGGAGACTGCCTTCAAGGCTGCCACCAGGAGCCATGAAAGAGTAAGGGGCTGTCATCCTTCCCTCCCCCGCGATGCCCTCCCCATGCCTTTACATCCCCCATTGTTGCATTTGTGAGGGGTGACCATCCCCGTTGCACACACGAGGAACTGAGGCCCTGGGAGAGGTGACTCTTTCAAGGGATGGGCACTGCGTTTGGGAAGAGCCTTGGGGCCAGGTCTTGGGTGGGCTGGTTCCAATCCTGACGGGAACACATACTTGGTGTGTGACCCAGAAATTCATCCAGGCTCTCCGGGCCTCAGTTTCTGATCTGTAAAATGGGACTGTTGTGAAGACTAAAAAAATATAATGTAGGTAGGCGCTAATAAGGGTTTCTTCTCTTCTGTCTTTTTAATATACATGCTTTTCTTTCTCTCCCTGCCTCTTCCTTTTCTCCTTCTCACCCACCCCTTTCCTTCTCCCCCCCCCCCCCCCGGTCCCCCAGAGCATTAGTTTCCTAAATGTCATCCTGCACGGTTTGAGACTCCAAGTAGATCAGGAAGTAGAGCCCCCACATGAGCTTGGCACTAAGTAAATGCCGACGCCTCTTCCTCCCCCCACCCCTCCTTCAGGACAGGCAGGATACCACGGCCTCCCCCACCAGAGGAGCAGGATGGGGACTTCAGGTTGGGGAGGGTGGGGCCTGGCCTCAGGGTGCCCCTGCCCGTCCATGCCTACCCCCCCTGGGATGGGACAGGTCTGGCCCAAAACTCAGACTCCATCTCCCTCTGGGGCCTCCTTGGGGGTCTTGCTGCTCTGAGCTTAAATCAGCCCAGCTGATGGGCCCTGAGGAAGGCGTGAGTCCTCTTGGACCCTCTGAGTTTTGTTTTGTTTTGTTTTTATCTTCTAATGGGCATTTGGGACAGAGAACATTAATGCAAGGAAGTAGGTGAAAATGCTTTACAGAGGACAAGGCGTGATCGATAGATAGGCATATAATCATAGCTTGGTTTGATACACTCATTTTTTATTGAGACGGAATTCACATAACATGTAATTAACTATTGTAAAGTGCACAGTTTTAGAGTGTAAGATAATTAATGTGTTCACAACGTTGTGCAACCATCCATCGGCTCTCTCTAGTTTCAAAATTTTTCATGACTCCGTAAAACACGCTGCGCCCATTAAGTAATCACTTATCATTTCCCCCTCTCCTCATGTCCTGGTGAATATTAATCTACTTTCTGTCTCTATGGATTTTCCTACTCTGGATATATCATAGGAAAGGAATGATACAGAATGTGGTCTTTTGTGACTGAATTCTTCCACTCAGCATAATGTTTTTGAAGTTCATTCACATTGTAGCAATGATCAGTGCTGGGGGGATTCAGGCGATCTGGGGTGTCTGGAGTGAAGATTATGTGTGTGGAAAAGTAAAAAATTAGACAGGAGTTGGACACAGAGTACCTTTGTGCAAAGCGAGTGAGCTTGTGTTTTACTCTGGGGGTGAGGTATTTGGAAAGGACAAGCATTGGACAGGTCTGTCAGTCAGAAGGCCTTCTGGGAGTCCTAGCTCAGAGTCCAGAGTCCAGAGAGGAGAAGAGCAGCTGGACTCCCACTTTCCTCTCCAATATTTCCTCTTCCAGGGAGCTCGCCGTGACTTCCAACAGCCTTTTCTCTGTGCCTCCCTTCTCTCATGACACACTTCCTACCATCTTGATAACTGCATGGCGTGCTTCTGTTTCCCTTTCCCACCCACCCCGCCCCGAGCTCCTCCAGGCAGGGTGTGGAGCTGAGCCATCTCTGGGTTTCCAGCATCATCCAGCATGGGTTGGGCACGGAAAGGTGGCAGAAGAGGCCTGTGTTCAATGGGGGAATGAATGAGTGGACAGATGACTGTGAGTGATTGGCCAATTCCTGGGGAGTGTGTGTGTAGCCAGCTGAGTCACAGCTCAGATAAAGTGACATCACTTGAGTTTCAGGTACTTCCTTCCTAGGCCCCTACCCATTCTGTCCCAAATTTGTTTAGCATATAGAAAAGGAATTCACCCACCCACTCACTTACCCATCCATTCATTCATCCATTCACTAATTCATTCGCTTTTTCATTCATTCATTCATTCATTCATTCATTCATTCATTCATGCATCCATCCATCTATCCATCCATCCATTCATTCTTTGACTGGTTCATTCATACCACAAAAATTTATGTAGCACCCATGTATCAGAGTTGAACGTGGTCCCTCCCCTTAAGGTGATTGTTACGGGAGGGATGCAATCCGGAGTGATTGGTCGGGGAGGGTATGGTATTCACGCAGAGACTAGAAAGATGAGAAAAGAGTGTTTGAGGCAGAGAGGCATCTGGTGGAAAGAAGCAGAGCAGAGAGAGAACACAGCTTTTCCCAAGGAGCGGAGAAAAGTTTTATGATGTTAGAACATTAAGTATGTGTTGGGGGTGGGGTGGGGTGGGGTGGGGATAGAGATGTTTTGAGAGCGGTCTGGACTGGGGTAGTTCACTTAGGGCTTTGAAAATGGGCTGAGAAACTGGTGCAGGAAGGGACATGGTCCGATGTAGAGTCAGTTAAGATCCCCATGGGGCCAGGGTTCAGGACAGGCTGGAGAGGGCAAGGATGGAGGCAAGCATAGAAGGTACAATTCCGGTGGCCTGAGCTGGCAGAAAAGTGGGGATGGATGAAGTTGGAGAAGGCCCTTCTGGATGGGGAGCACAGCCTGGGCAAAGGTTTGGAAGTGAGAGACAGCTTTTGGGGTTACTTAGTGGGTGTTGAAGGATGAGGTGGGAGAGGCACACAGGGGCAAGATGGGACAGGGATTTCAATGCTAACCTGAGCTTGAACTTTTTTTACCAGGGCGATAGGGAGCCATGGGAGGTGTTTGAGCAGGGGAGCCTCATGTTCAGGTCAGCATGTTATAAGGATCTTTCTGGGGTAGGTGTTAGGATGGATTGGAGGGGTGAGGTGGGAGGTTGGAGCCCAGCGAGGAGTCCCAAGGAGGTCAGAAGCAGAGGTCAAAGGTCAGAATTCTGTATTGAGTCATCGTTGCTCCCCTGTCTCCACAGCCGCCATTGCCCCCAAGGATGACCTTTTCTATGGCTTCCTGAAGCCTTGGCTAGGTGAGTGTGGGACTGGGCAGGCTGGGGCTTCAGGGAAGAGGGGGGTGGAGCATGAGGTTTCTTGGGGTATCTCAGAGTAATAGGAGAGACCCCTCACCTCAGTCTTCTGGGCCCAGGGGATGGGCTGCTGCTCAGCAAAGGTGAGAAGTGGAGCCGGCACCGCCGCCTGCTGACACCTGCCTTCCACTTTGACATCCTGAAGCCCTACATGAAGATATTCAACCAGTGCACCAACATCATGCATGTGAGTCCCAAGGTTTCATGGGCAGAGGATGTCCTGGAAGTGAGACTGGTCAGGCTGCAACTCGCGGGTGAGCCATGTGACGTCACAAAGCCTCACTTCCTTCATCTGTATTTGGCTTGTAGTGAGCGTGCAGCTAGGCCCTTGTCAGCCAGGCTTTAAGGCTGCATTCTCTGTGCCCATTTGCTGTCTCTCTCTTCCAGGCTAAATGGCGGCGCCTGGCGGAGGGTCCAGTGGTCTCCCTGGACATGTTTGAGCACGTCAGCCTCATGACCCTGGACAGTCTCCAGAAATGTGTCTTCAGCTACAATAGCAACTGCCAGGAGTGAGTGTGGCCTACCTGGGGAAGACAGGACTAGCTGCTTTCAGGGCAAGGTGGTGGGAGGAGAAAGGCGGTGTTAGGCACCTATGGGCTGCTGGTGCTCTGCCAGACAGGCTGTGTGGTTCCAGGAAGCTGACATCACCTCTCTGAGCCTGTTTCCTTATCTCCCCCCCCCCCATTAGAATTCCAATTCCTTCCCCATAGTCATGGTGTGGGAATTAAATGAGATAATATGAATCAACTAGAAGTCTGTTGCAGGAAATTTCCTGCAAGAATAGGGCTTCCTCAGGTCGATTGCGCCACCAAGCCCCGCTGCCCAGGGCCGCACACCGGAGTCCCAGCTGGCGGCAGGGCTTAGGCGGCACACGGGGGCCTGGATGGCGGCTCGCGCTGGCCCCCCCGCCTGCAGTATGCAAATTAGCCGCCATCTTTGTTGGCGGTTAATTTGCATATCACGCTGATTAGCCAATGGGAGGCATAGCAAAGGTATGGTCAATTACCATGTTTGTCTATTATTAGATAGGATGGCTTTGCACATAATAGGTGCTCAGTAAATGCTAGTTTCCCTTATTCTATGAAGACTATATGGTCTTTGGAAAGTATCCCCCCACTTTCTGAGCCTCTGTTTTTTTTGTTTGATGACCATCCCTGACTGTCTGAGAGATGCTTTAAGAATAAAATGATATAGCACTGCCCAGGAACACAGTAGAGCCCTGTGAGTATTTGTTGAATGAATTAGTAAAATAACCATTGCCCTGGTTCATTCATTCATTCATCAGATATTCACTGTGTACCTACTATGTGCCTGGCACTATGCTAGCTACTGGGAATATGGTAGGGAAACAGACAAAAACCCATTTCTTTGGAGCTTATAATCTAGGTGGGGATATAAGAAATAAGGGACACAATGAATGTCAAGTTTGTAGCACATAGTAGGTCCTCAATAACAACCTTCTGACTTTGTTACTCAGGGCTTTGCAGGGATATGTTTCAATTGGGTAAGGTGGAGATGACCTTAGTAATTAATCAATTAATTAATCTAAGAAATATTTACCGAGTGCCTACTATGTGCTAGTCCTAGACTAGGCTGTAAATACAGTGATTAATAAAACAGACAAGGTCTTGCTCTTCTGGAACTTATATGTTGGTGGGGGGAAAAGCAGTAACCATGAACAAATAAATAAACAAAAAAATGACCGACTATGAAAACAAGCACACTTCAGGACCAAGGACAGCTCCTTGACCCCCTCCCCTGCAGTGATTTTGTTATGATTGTTGTTTTGTTTTTAAGTCCTCACCTGGGGATATGTTTTTGTTGATTTTTAGAGAGAGAGAGGAATGGGGGGGGGGGAGAGAGAGAGAGAGAGAGAATGAGAGAATGTGAGAGAGAAATATGAATCTGTTGCCTCCTGTTTGCACCCAGACCAGGGGTCGAACCCACAACCTAGGTATGTGCCCTGACCGGGAATAGCATCCAAAACCTTTTGGTGTATGGGATGATGGTCCAACCAACTGAGCCACCTGGCCAGGGCTGTTGTTATTGTTTTAATAACAGCTTTACTGAGATGTAATTCATATACCATACAATTCACTCATTGAAAGTATACAATCCAACCATAATAAATTTTAGAATATTTTCACCAAAAAGAAACCCTGTATATTTTATTTTGGGGGATGATATGACTTTAGTTTATCCACCAGAGTGGAAATAATGTCTGTACAAAACCATACATTTGTTAATGTAACTTTCGTATCACAGTTAAAATCCAAACAGTTTTTAAAAAAACAGTCATCTCAATCAAAACTCATTATGTTAGAATCAATAGCTTCTTTGAAGCCACAGGTAACACTTAAATAAGGTTAAGACTCAAATGCAGACATTTGGTTGCTAGGAAAGCTAATTAAATTTCCAACTTGCTCAAATAGAACTATAAAAAGGCAAAATTGTGTTTTCCACAGAGATACAGTCCCCTGGATTCGCCAACACTGGACAGCTGTTAGAGTACTTAGAGTCCTGAGATCATAAGAAATCCAAGCATCCTTTAGAGTCCAATGGTTCTCAACCTTCTGGCCTTTATTTTTTAATTTTTTAAAAAATATATTTTATTGATTTTTTTACAGAGAAGGGAGAGGGATAGAGAGTTAGAAACATCGATGAGAGAGAAACATCGACCAGCTGCCTCCTGCACACCTCCTACTGGGGATGTGCCTGCAACCAAGGTACATGCCCTTGACGGGAATCGAACCTGGGACCCTTCAGTCCGCAGGCCGACGCTCTGTCCACTGAGCCAAACCGGTTAGGGCTGGCCCTTTAAATACAGTTCCTCATGTTGTGACCCAACCATAAAATTATTTTCGTTGCTACTTCATAACTGTAATGTTGCTACTGTTATGAATCGTAATGTAAATATCTGATATGCAGGATGGTCTTAGGAGACCCCTGTGAAAGGGTCGTTCTACCGCCAAAGGGGTCGCTACCCACAGGTTGAGAACCGCTGCTTTAGACAGACTTCTGCTGTCCTTTCTTCCCAGTCAGAGATTTGTGGGCGTGTGGAAAGACACCGCCACTAGCAATCGTAGCCTTGATGAGAGAGTCTCATTCTTCATCTCCATGAATAGCAAGTTTCAAACGAGGAGGGGTAATTCTGTTTTACCTTTAAGTCTTTTGATGCATTTCCTGCCAATTTAGTGGACTCTGTGGTGAGGTAGTCCAGATGACTGCGTTGTACACAGCAGCGGTCGTGCCCACATGTCCGTGGCTGGTCGTCCTAGATTTTAGGTGTCAATGAATACAGTTCAGTGGAAACTGTAAGCTGCCCTCTGTGAGCAAGAATCTGCCTTCACCCTGGCCTTCCCGGGGTCCTTTCCCGCCCACTGCCAGCCATTTCAAATTCTGCTGACGCAGAAACAAGCAAGGCAGAGAAAGGACTAGTCAGCCACCTGGAGAGATCCCACCGCCTACACCAGTGGTCGGCAAACTGTGGCTCGCGAGCCACATGCGGCTCTTTGGCCCCTTGAGTGTGGCTCTTCCACAAAATACCACGTGTGGGTGTGCACGTACAGTGCGATTGAAACTTCGGGGCCTGTGTGCAGAAGTCGGTATTTTGTGGAAGAGCCACACCCAAGGGGCCAAAGAGCCGCATGTGGCTCACGAGCCGCAGTTTGCCGACCACTGGCCTACACCATCACACTGTGATTCAAACTGCCCCTACACATGTGAGCACTCACCTCCCAGAACCCACTTCTCCTCCAGATCTAGGCAATCACTCATCTTCCTTCTGTGTCTACAGTCATCTACTGTGGAAATTTCATGGGTGGAATCATACAGACTTTTGTTCCTGGTTTCTTTTACTCACCATAATGTTTTCAGATTTATCCATGTTGTCGTGTGCATCAGTAATTCATTTTTCAAAAATTGATGTATAACATTCCACTTACTGCGTAAAACCACGTTTTGTTTACTTGGTTATTTGTTGATGGACATTTGGGTTGTTTCCACTTTGGGGCTATTATGAATAACGCTGCTATAAGCATTTGTGCACAAGTTTTTGAGTACATGTATGTCTTTAATTTTCTTGCATATATACCTACGAGTGGAATTGCTGGGTTATATGATAATTCTATGTCTAACTTTTTTGAGGAACTGTTGGACTTTTTCCTAACGTGGTTTTTACAATCACTTTAAGATCCCACCAGTAGTATGTGAGGGCTCTAATTTCTCCATATTATCACCAATACTTGTGATTATCTGTGTTGTTTCCTTTTTTTTTTTTTTTTTTTTTTTTGGTTATAGCCATCCTAGTCAGGGTAAAGTGGTATCTCATTGCAATTTTGATTTACACTTGGCTAATTATGTTGAATATCTTATCATGTGCTTGTTGGGCATTTTCGTATCTTCTCTGGAGAAATGTCTATTCATATCCTTTGCCCATTTTTAAATTGGGGTATGTCTTTTTTTTTATTATTGAGTGTTAAGAGTTCTTTAAGTAGTGTAGATACAAGGTCCTCATCAGATACATGATTTGCAAATATTTTCTCCCACTCTATGGGTTGTGGCAGTTTAATTTCAGTGCTGTCACATAAGTTTGGAATTCCTCATCTCTCTTTGGGCCTGTTTTAAAATGCACCCAGATTGTAGTTTTATCCAGGTATGGTGAGTCCCAACAGTTCAGAAAACGACTGCCATGAGGCTCCCAAGAGGAGGGGAAATGCCACACGACGCCCGGCCACATGGAGAAGCACTAGGAGAAAGCACGGCAAAAGCCTTTTGGGGGTGTTTCTAGGAATAAGTGGGAAATGCAGGGCATGCAGGCTTAGGATTGGCTAGTTTGGAATATTTCAGCAGGCTCTGGAGCAAAAGGGTGCCCCTGGCTGTCCAGTACTTGGTGATTAAGGCAGGGGGGTAGGGGCTCAGCCTGGTAAGGTTTGGAGTAGGGACTATGGATTGGTTGGTTTCCCAAAGAAAGGCCTGCTTTTGGGTGAGTCTCTGAGAATAGGCTAGTGGGGATGGGGGGTGGGGGTGGGGCAGTGTCTCTCTAGTCAGGGAGGTCCCAGATGGTAGAGCATCGGGAATACAAGAAAATATAGCTAATCCAGGGCCTCTCTCTTTTAAAAAACAATATATTTTTATTGATTTCAGAGAGGAAGGAAGAGGGAGAGAGCGATAGAAACATCAATGATAAGAGAGAATCATTGATTGGCTGCCTTCTGCACACCCCATATTGGGGATCAAGCCCAGTCATGTGCCCTTGACAGGAATTGAACCCGGGACCCTTCAGTCCGCAGGCCGACGCTCTACCCACTGAGCCAAATCGGCTAGGGCCAGGGCCTCTCTTTGTCACTTACCCACTGGGAGAGGAAGCGTGGCTCTGCACTGATGGCCCTTCTCCCCGGCAGGAAGATGAGCGATTACATCTCAGCCATCATTGAGCTGAGTGCGCTGTCCGTCCGACGCCAGTATCGCCTGCACCACTACATCGACTTCATCTACTACCGCACAGCAGACGGGCGGCGCTTCCGTCAGGCCTGTGACACCGTGCACAGCTTCACCACCGAGGTCATCCAGGAGCGGCGGCTGGCGCTGCGCCAGCAGGGGGCCGAGGCCTGGCTCAAGTCCAAGCAGGGCAAGACCTTGGATTTCATCGATGTGCTGCTCCTGGCCAAGGCGAGGCGGGGCCCTGGAGGGTGGGCCCTGCCCAGGGTGGCCTCCTCAGGAGTCACACGCACTGCCTAAAATAGTAAACGCCCAAACTAACTTAGGCATAGGATGCAGGCAGATGCAAAACGTGTAAGACTTACTGTGTTCGTTGGCTAGGGCAACACTTACATGACCTTGAAGACATGTGACACTTTCAGAGACAGGTGGCCACCCATGTGTGGTGCTTCTGTGGAATTTCTGAGCAGCACCTGGGTTCTGGACTCAGACAGCCCTAGACTCCACTCCCGACTCTGATGCCTCATGGATGATTGACCTAAGTCATCTGACTCTTCCCTTGGAGCCTCTGTTTCCTCATTTATGACATAACTAGAGGCCTGATGCACGAAATTCATGCAAGGGTAGGCCTTTGCAGCCCCAGCTGCTGATGGCCCCGTGCCCCCACCCCCTGCCCACTGGTTGTTCTGGAAGGTTGTTCCGGGAGGTCATTCCGGAAGGTCGTTCTGCCGTCTGGCCTAATTAGCATATTAGCTCTATTATGTAGGATGATCACCTGACCCGATCACAAGATTGCTGGTGCTAGAGCTGCTCAAGAAACACAAACTCCTTTCTTCTCCTCACCTTTGACTTGCCTCCACTCTTTTCATCTTTTTTCTTAAAAAAAAATATATTTTATTGATTTTTTACAGAGAGGAAGGGAGAAGGAGAGAGAGTTAGAAACATCGATGAGAGAGAAACATCGATTCAGCTGCCTCCTGCACACTCCCTACTGGGGAGGTGCCCGCAACCAACGTACATGCCCTTGATCGGAATCGAAGCTGGGACCCTCCAGTCCGCAGGCTGATGCTCTATCCACTGAGCCAGACCGGTTAGGCTCTTTTCATCTTTCTTAGACAAGTTGCATACTTCCATCTTCTGGGAATCCTTTCTCCTGAAGCTTGGCTTAAGAGAGAGAGGGGAGCATGTATGACTTTGGAGGAGCCCCCAGCATGCAGAAGGTGGGATGAAGTGGGCTGACCCTTGTCTGCTGCCCATTCCAGGATGAAGATGGAAAGGAACTGACAGATGAGGACATCCGAGCTGAGGCAGACACATTCATGTTTGAGGGTGAAGACATGGTGCAAGGCTGGGGGAGGATGGGCGGTCCCCATTTCCTGAAGATAGCATCTCTGCTATCTCCAGGAAGCCTCCATGCTAGCTCCTCATTTGCCTGCAGGTCACGACACAACGTCCAGTGGGCTCTCGTGGGTGCTGTTTAACCTGGCCAAGCACCCAGAGTACCAGGAGAAGTGCCGGGAAGAGATCCAGGAAGTCATGAAAGGCCGGGAGCTGGAGGAGCTGGAGTGGTCAGTCGGGGGTCATGGGGATGGTGGGGACAGGTTGAGCCTGGGGTGTGCGTCGCTCTGCTCTACCACCTATTGACGTTCTGACCTCAATCTTAAGTGAAAAATCACTTAAGATTCAATTTAATTTCAATTTCTTCAACTGTAAAACAGGATGCCAACAATGTCTCTGCCTAGCTCATAGTAGGAGTTCTTACTTAGGAGTGTCTTGGCTAGCAATGGTTGCAGTAATGCTGCATAACAAACAGCCTCTAATCTTTGGGGTTTACAGCAAGCATTTGTTTTATTTCTTGCTCTTGTCTGCATATGACGTTTGTACTGCTGGGCGATGCTGAGTTGAATGGGGTTGCTTCCAAACTGAGGTTTGGGCTAGGGTTTGTTCCACATAGCTCTTCCTGCTCCTCGAACCAGCAACTACTCTGGGCATGCCCATCTCAAGGTAGACTTCAGAAGCACAAAGAGGCACACGACTATAAACATGTGATTGGGGTGACATTGATTATTAAAATGATACAGCTCTCAGGTGTACACTTCTAGAATACAGCTTCTGTATATTTTATTGTGTGCTCTCCACCCTAAGTCAAGTCTCGTCCCGTCATCACTGAGAGCCGGACAGCTTAAACCTCTGCTTGCATCTCAACATTCCATCACCGAAAGCAAGTCGCATGGCCGGGTGCAACACGAGTGGGCTGGCGCGCATACTCCGCCCATCGAAGTGGAGGGCACTGCAGAAAGAATCACAGGGCACAGGGCGCAGGTGTATAATTTGAATACAAGAAAAAGTGAAGGATCAGGAACAATAATCCAGCTGACTTCGTATGTGCGCTGTGTCGCGCTGCTTCTGGGTGAAGCAAAGAAAACACAGCGTTAAATAGCATTGGCCAGGGAGGAAGTGGCTCCGGGGCAGCCTTTCAGACTCTGAACTCAGGGAGAAACTCTCGGGTGGGCGCTATTGGCTCTTTAACACCTTGGTCGCTGCTTTTTTTCTTAATCACCCGAGAATATGCTTGGAGAGAGGAAGGGGGGGGGGGGGGGAGAGAGAGAGAGAGAGAGAGAGAGAGGAACATGGATGTAAGAGAGAAACATTGATCGGTTGCCTTAGTCACGCTTCCTGACTGGGGATGAAACCTGAAACCCAGGTATGTGTCCTGAACAGGAATTGAACAGGTAACCCTTTTGGCGCACGGGACAACCCTCAACCACCTGAGCCACTCTGGCCAGGTGCTAACTGCCTTTTAAAAAAATATATGTTTTTTTGCCGAAACCGGTTTGGCTCAGTGGATAGAGCGTCGGCCTGCGGACTGAAAGGTCCCGGGTTCGATTCCGGTCAAGGGCATGTACCAGGGCTGCGGGCACATCCCCAGTGGGAGATGTGCAGGAGGCAGCTGATCGATGTTTCTCTCTCATCGATGTTTCTAACTCTCTATCTCTCTCCCTTCCTCTCTGTAAAAAATCAATAAAATATATATATTTAAAAAATATATGTTTTTATTGATTTCATTGAGAGAGGAAGGGAGAGGGAGAGAGAGATAAAAACATCAATGGATGAGAGAATCATGGGTCGTCTGCCTCCTGCACCGTGGCCTTCTGGGAATGGAGCCCCAAACCAGGGCAGGTACCCCTACTGGGAGTTGAACCGTGATCTCCTGGTTCATAGGTCAACCCTCAACCACCGAGCCACACTGGCCGGCACTAACTGCCTTTTTAACAATGGGAGACGATGCCCCAGGTCCCAAGGACTGGGCAGGGGATGGTGCCTCGCCAGAACTAAATAACTCTCTGCTGGTTTCCCAGTGGTGCTTACGTTTATGGCACTTTTATGCCGGGCATGCCATTTGCCCTTTAATGTAACAACATACAGTTTCTTTGAAGGAGAACCTGTTGGTGTAAAGAAAACCACTAGATCCGTGGTCGGCAAACTGCGGCTCGCGAACCACATGCGGCTCTTTGGCCCCTTGAGTGTGGCTCTTCCTAAGCCTTAGGGGCACCCTATTTAAGTTAATAACAATGTACCTACCTATATAGTTTAAGTTTAAAACATTTGGCTCTCAAAAGAAATTTCAGTCGTTGTACTGTTGATCTTTGGCTCTGGTGACTAATGAGTTTGCCGACCACTGCACTAAATCATGAACCAAGAGTTAGAACTAATCCAATGTTGGGCTCTGGATTCCAAAGGAAAAAAATTAAGTGAATAACAGTAAAGGAAGCGGAGGTATGGGTTCTTAATACTGAAGTTGGTCCACACAAGCTGGTAAATTGCTGCTGCTGGCTTTCCGGGCACCTCCTCCAGTGGCCCTGACTCCCCATAATCCATCCGTTACTGGGTGAACGCTGGGCCCGCAGAAGCCCGCTAGCACTGCTCTGATTTGCTCAGAGTCAGCCACGGTGTGTGCAGGGCGCAACTGCAAATGCTAGCAGTTGGGGCAAGTCTGAGATCCTGGCCTCGAGCACCCACACCCCCATTCCATGCTCCCCAGGGATGACTTGACGCTGCTGCCCTTCACCACTATGTGCATCAAAGAGAGCCTACGCCAGTTCCCACCCGTGACCCTGGTCTCCCGCCGCTGCACGGAGGACATCAAGCTCCCGGATGGGCGCATCATCCCCAAAGGTGCCTACTGTGTGCTCCCTGCTGCCTGGCTGCTCTGTTGCTCACGGGGCTCATCATGCTCACCCCAGGTTCACCGTCCCCGCAGATGGGATGGCTCTCTGTGTGGCCGTTGCTTCTGGGGTGATGCGGGGGACCCAGTGTACAGGGGGGAGATAGAGGTGGGTGAGTATAGATGGACAGGAAGCAGTGGGTGGGGCACGGCGGGCCCTCTCTAGGTACAGGTAGGGAAGGATTGGTTTCGTTCGGTTGCCAGATATTCCCTGGAGACCCAGCCCTGTCCTGGGTGATGCTGGGGATCTACAGAGGCCTCATCTCCAGGACCAGGCTGGGGAATACAGCAGGGCACAGACATTCCCAGCCACAAGAGGTCGGGGGTGGGCTGAAGGGAGGGAGTGGGGCTGGAGCAGCCCAGAAGAAGGATGGATGGCTCTATCTGGGGAAGAATGCAGGGAGGGCTGCTTGGAAGAGTAAATGTGGGAGGTGAGCCTTGGAGGTTGGAAGTGAAGATAGTGAAAGGCCTTCAGTGCCAGATTAAGGCACTTGAACTTGATCCTCAGGGTAGCAGGTAGCCACGGGAGGGGTTTGAGCCTAGAAGAAATGCCAGATGTGTGAGTGAGAAAGAGCCCTGTGTGGACAGCAGAGCAGTCAGAAAGGGGATGGAGACCTCTTAGGGAGGCATGCAGAAGCATTTTCCAGGGAAGGACGGGCAGGGAAGGTTGCAGATGGCTCATGGAACACCATGGCTCCAAGGAAAGCAGGTCTCCCTGACTCCCCTCTGCCCCACTGACCTCACCCCTCCCTACAGGAATCATCTGCCTGGTCAGCATCTATGGGACCCACTACAACCCCACAGTGTGGCCTGACTCCAAGGTGAGCTCCTCTTCTCCCTCGGTGTCCTCTTCAGAAGGGGCAGTCCTGGGGCAGTGAGGCCTCCCCTGCCCTGCTTCCCAGGGAACCAGACATCAGGGCTGGATGCAGGACTTGAGCGCCCCCCCCCCCCCCCCAGAGATCCCCCACTCACTACGAATTCATTAAGTCCACAAATATTATTGAGCTCCTACTGTGTGCCAGACCCTGTGCTGGGTGCTGAGGACAGAGAAAGATATTGTCATTACCCTTATGGAACTCACAGTGAAGTGTAAAGAAAAAAGAGCAAAAATAAGATGATTTGGGATATTGGTAAATGTACACAGGAAATAAAAAACGGAGGGGGTGGTGGTGGGGGTAGAGGAGTACTTTAGCTCACATGGTGAGGAAAGATCTGTGGAGGAAAGATGTTTGAGCTGAGACCTGAGAAGTGTGAAGAGCATGGGCAAGTGTGTTTCAGGCAGAGTTAACAGCAAGTGCAAAGGCCCTGGGGTGGGAATGAGCCTGGCATGCCTGGATAGCAAAAGGAGGCAGTGAGGCTGGAATGCAGTGTCCAGCTGGGCTGCTCCCCAGAGGCTGAGGGAGGGGGCCAAGCTGATATGGGTGGGCAAGTCCCCAGACTCACCCAGACTGCTTCTGCTTAGGTGTACAATCCCTATCGCTTTGACCCGGACAAGCCGCAGCAGCGCTCGCCGCTGGCCTTCGTGCCCTTCTCGGCAGGACCCAGGTAACTACTATTTCCCCAAGTGTAGGAGGGACACCCAGGCCAGTGGAAAGCCAGGGATGTGCCTGTCTGGGACAGAGCCCGCATCCCACCCAGGTGTCCTACCTGCCAACCTGGCATACTCTTCCTGTCCTCAGTGCACCCCTACGCCCCCAGATCAGATCTGTGATAGCGACCCTCAGTGTTCACTGCAACTACTGTGCGCCAGGCCCTGCGTTCTGGGCTCTTAGGCTCCCAAAGGCTCTATGATGCATTGTTCTGTTTCACAAATGAGAAAACCGAGGCTCGGAGGGGTGGGTGGTCATTTACCCAGTTCCAGGGACCCCACTCACGGTCGTTCTTCCTCCAGGAACTGCATCGGACAGAGCTTCGCCATGGCCGAGATGCGCGTGGCCGTGGCGCTGACTCTGCTGCGCTTCCGCCTGAGCGTGGACCGAACGCGCAAAGTTCGGCGGAAGCCGGAGCTCATACTGCGCACGGAGAATGGCATCTGGCTCAACGTAGAGCCCCTCCCTCCGCGGGCCTGAGCCTGAGCGCCGGTGCGCCCCTGCGGAGCCCGGGGCCTAAGCCCCGCCTAGAGGCCGAAGCCCCGCCCTCGAGGGACCAGACCACGCCCCTAAGTCCTGTGGACATAGGCCACGCCCCTCGAAGTCCAGGCTCCGCTCAGGGGGATCAGGGTCCTCCACTGAGCAGCGGGTAGGTGCAGGCCACGCCCCTCAAGGCAAGGCCACGCCCCTTGAGTTCCAGGACCCACCCACCGAGTGCTGTCCTCTGGTTTGAGGGCCAGGCTAGGCCACACCCCTTGGGCCCAGACCCCGCCCCCAGCATCCTGCGGCTTCAGGTCTTCAGGCCTCTCCCACGGAGCCTTCTAAGACCCTAAGGCCAGACATCTAAAGCGTCCTGAATTCAAGCCCTGCCCCACGCGGATCTGACGGGCTTCTAAATGGAGGACTTGGGAGCTGGAGCCCGAGGTCAGAGCCTTGAACCTGGATATCGCCTTCCTGAAGCCCCCAGCTCTGATGGGCGAACTTCTCAGGCATCAGGCTACCTCCTGTGGCCCTGCTGTTTGCTTTTCTTGTTTTGTAAACTCGAACTCTCCTTCCAAGCCCCTTCCTTCCTCCCTTACTCAAAGGCCCTTTGCTAAGGGTGTTGGTTTTTGTAGAATAAAAGCAAGGGATACAGACATCCACCATCATCCACCCTCTAGCGGCTAGTCTAGTGGCTAGAGCAGTGGTTCTCAACCTTCCTAATGCCGCGACCCTTTAATACAGTTCCTCATGTTGTGGTGACCCCCAACCATAAAATTATGTTCGTTGCTACTTCATAACTGTAATTTTGCTCCTGTTATGAATCGTAATGTAAATATGTGATATGCAGGATGTATTTAGGTGACCCCTGTAAAAGGGTCGTTCGACCCCCAAAGGGGTTGCGACCCACAGGTTGAGAACCGCTGGGCCCGACCCTGACATCCAGAGCCCAGCACGGAAATGAGGGACCTTGGACAGTTGGGAAGCAGCCGAGGGAATCTGTGAGCTAGGAGGCTGGAAAATCATTTGTCCTTGGACATAAACTGAGACTTTTTGGGACAGCTTTGTATTCATTTATTTCATCAACAGACTGCATTATTAACGAAGTGTCTGCTAGCACTGGGCCAGGGGCACAGCTGGCCTGATTCCTGCCCTCAAGAAGACAGGGTTGACAAATGTTGAGCAAATAATTCTACATATAAATATTTACTTAAACTTGTGACAGGTGCTCCAAGGGAGACACCGTGGTGCTGGGTGAGCATAACATTTGGTGGGGGTGGCTCAGGGAGAGCTTCTCTGGTGCTGAAGTGGGAGTAGAATTTGGTGACAAGGGAGAGAAGAGCATTCCAGGCAGAGGAATAGCATCTGCAAATGTATGCAGATGAGGGAGAGCATGGTGCACTCGAGGAACTCACAAGGGGCCAGAGTGGCTGGACCTGGGTAGTGGGGTAGAAAGGAAGAAGGACGGGGAGGGGCCAATCGTGTAGGAACTGTGGGCTATGTCACAGTTCAGCCCTTATGCTGAGGGCAATAGGGAGCTATAGGGGGTGTGTGAGCAGGAACAGGACACATCATAATCAAGCCTGGGCTGGCAGGGAGGTGGCTTGAAAGGGAGTACAGGGGGCTGAAAACCCAGGGGAAAGGGTGGCTGAGGTCCAGGTGGGACAGGAAGGGTCAGGTATAAGCGGAGGAGAAGGTTAGGGTGATTCTCAAGTCTTTGGCTGGGGGAACTAGGTGATGGAATAGTCCCTGATATGGTGATATAGAAGGTGGGACAATGACAGCGTCTACAATAATCATATGAATTCATCAAATTGTACATCTACTGTGACCAGTGTTTGAGCTCTCGTGTAACTGACTTTCTAGAAAGGGGAGCAGATAACAAGTGATTAAAAAAGCAAACAAATAAGTAAATTTACACAGGGCCTTAAAGTCACTGACTTTATTGTGAGAAAAATAGGGGGCCATAGGGGGTTCTGAGCAGAGGAGGGATAAGATTTGTCGTACAGTCGTTGGCTGCAATTTGAATAGAGACTACAGAAGGCAAGGATAGAACTAGAAGATGAGGAGGGGGTGACTACCTTAGTCCAGGTGAGAGATGACTGTAGCTAAAACCTACGTGGGGGCTGTACAGGTGAAGAGGGGCAATTGGACTCTGATGAGGAATGATTGTTTCGTGAAGGTAGTCCTGGCAGGTTTGCCAATGGATGGAGTGTGGGATTCATGAGAAGGGCAGGTCCCCAGGTCTCCAGGTTTGAGCACCTGGAAAGATTGGAGTACCATCGATGGAGATGGGGAATGCTGAATGAAGCAAGTTGTTTTGGGGGTGAGATTAGCATGTCCGTTTGGACCAGGAGCAGTTGGGCCGTCAAGCTGGCACGTGGACAGATGGGCCTCAAATTTGGGAGAGAGTTCTGGGCCGGGACAGACATTTGGGAAGCCTCAGAATTCAGATGGTGTTTCAAGCCCGAAGACTGAGATACTAGGGTGTGTGTATGTGTGTATGTGTGTGTGTGTGTGTGTTCACGAAGGAGGATGAAGCCTGGGGGGAGGGGGGTCTCCGAAGTTAATATAACAATAATGGTATTTATTTTTATTTTTAAATATATTTCTTTATTGATTTCAGAGAGAAAGGGAGAAGGAGAGAGAGATAGAAACATCAATGATGAGAGAGAATCATTGATCAGCTGCCTCCTGCACAGCCCCCACTGGGGATCGAGCCCACAACCCAGGCATGTTGTGCCCTTGGCCGGAATCGAACCTGGGACCCTTCAGTCCGCAGGCTGACGCTCTATCCACTGAGCGAAGCCGGCCAGGGCAACAATAATGATATTTAAGTTGACTGAGTACTTCTTTGTGTGTCCTTTCCATTTAATAATCTCATTTAATTCTCAGGTACTGTTATCCTGAGATGGATATTGAGTTCCCCAGAGTGAAATGACTAACCTAAGGTCCAACAACGATATCCTTGGGGACCTCAGAGGGGGCCCTGAGTCCTTTTCCACCCCATTCCTTGGGCCTCCTTGTCCTGCTCCGGGGCATCAGCCGAGATGGCGCGGGGTTGGGGATCTGGAGATGAGTCAAACCTGGGCTGTCGATCCTGGAGCGCCCCCTGGTGGTGTGTGCTGGTATCGTCGGCCGGAATGCCCTTTCCGAGGTAGACTGAGTGGGAACCATGCAGGAGCCCCCCACTGCCTCTCTCACACCCCCATCCCGAGGGAGGGTCTCCAAGCGCTCATTATTCCCCAAACATTGCACCAGCCTCCCTCAACCCACTCCCACCACGCACGCCTCGGAGCAACCCCGTCATGTGCCAGCAGAAATAACTTGACCTTGGGATGCGACTTATATGGGCTCAAACCCTGGCTCTGCTCCTTACTAGCGGTGGCCCTGGCGCGTGACTGCCCCTCTGCTCCTCGGTTCTCCTGTGGGTTTTATAGGTTCGTCAGGTTTGTCATGCACGTTGACTTTTCACGAAGGGTCTTGGTGGATGAACGAGGGAGGAGGGCAGGCATGAGGTCCGTGGGGCCCAGGACTCACCTCCACCTGCGTGTGAGTCCTTATACACCTGGTGCCATCACATGAGGCTCGTTCCTCTGCTGAGTGTGTCAGAGGCTCCCTCTGCTGGATGCTTTGGGGGCACAGGCTCTTGTCTGTGTGTGTGTAGGGACTTGGGGGCGGGGGTGGGGGGGGGGTGGGGGGGTGGGGGTGCTGGGAAGAGAGGAGGGGAGAACCCCACTCGTTGAACGACTATAACTGTCCACATGGGGCTGTGCTCCTGCTCAAGGCAGGAGCCCCTGCCCAGAGCCCCTCCGTGCCTTGCAGCAAGCAGGACGTTCTGGAGAAAATGTGCTTGCGAGCAGCCCTGACTAATGACAGTTGGGTGCGCGTTCTCTGCTCTCTCCCAGGGGTCCCGAGGGGGACTGAGCCCCAGGTTCCAACAGTGGGAACTTCCTTTTCAAAGCACCTTTTCCCTGCTGCCCTCCCTTCCCTGCCTCCCTTCCCGCTGCCTTACTGGCATCTCCTGGGATCACCTCCCAAAGAAACAACTTACAGTTGAATTTTTGCCTCAGAATAAAGGATTTGCACTTGAATTCTTGTGTCACAGTCGACTTTTGGGGAACTCAGACTAAGGGATGCACGTAGACCTGTGCTTATGCCCAATCCCCAATCCCCACAGGCTGTTGTTATGCCCTTTTTACAAAGGAGGGGCTTAAGGATCAAGTGGAGGGGGTGGGGGATGTCTTTGAAGTTAATATAACAATAAGGATATTTAAATTGACTGAGTACTTCTTGTGTGTCCTTCCCATTTAATATTCTCATTTAATTCTCACAGGTACTGTTATCCTGAGATGGATATTGGGTTCCATAGTGAGGATCAGAGAGGGCAAGTCATTTGCCAAAGTCACACATCTGGAGAGTGGCAAAGCTGGGCTTTGATTCTGGGCCATCTGACCCCAATCTCGGGGCTGGCACCCCTCTTGGAAGCCCCCCTCCTTGGCAAGGGCTGAGGGAATGGGGGTCATTCACAGCTAGTAATGTCCATGTTGTTTGTACCAGAGGGACCTAAGACTCATTTATAGCTGGCTTCCATGTCTTCATTCTGTCATGAAATAAGAGAAATAATGGCAAACACATGCTTGGTGCTGACCATGAATCAAGGAGGGTTGTTATAAGCACTTTATTTATTTATCTCCTCTCTCCACATATTGCATGAGCTGATGTAAAAAAAAAAAAAAAAGTTGCAAGCATAGCCCAGCTAGTGTGGCTCAGTGGTTGAGTGTCGACCTATGAGTCAGGAAGTCATAGTTCGATTCCCGGTCAGGGCACATGCCTGAGTTTCAGGCTTGATCCTCCGGTAGAGTGCGTGCAGGCGGCAGCTGATGGATGTCTCTCATTGCTGATATTTCTTTCTCTCCCCCTCCCTTCCTCTCTCTGAAATCAATAAAAAACATTTTTTTTTAAGTTGCAAGTGTAAACATTTTAAAGGGAAATTCTTCCATTTCTACTCTCCAGTCCCAACCCAGCAGTTTGGGTTGATTTTTTTTTCTCTTCAGTTTTTACACGTTGCATATATGAACATTTTCCCGTATCTATGCAAATATTTACGCACACATAACCACTTTTTAAAGAGAATTTTTTATAAGAGTTTATTTGAGCCAAACTGATGCCATATGCCAGGGAGCAAGATCACACAACCACTTTTCTGAGGACTCCAAACATGCTGGGAAATACCCGTTCCAGTTAGCTGTTATTGCGTAACGAGCTGCCGAGACGTTCAGTAGCTTCGATTGACAAACTTTACTTTGCTCACCAATTTACAGTTTGGCTGGGCTCCGCTGGAATGGCTTGCTCTACTCCAGTGGTTCTCAACCTTCTGGCCCTTTAAATACAGCTCCTCATGGTGTGACCCAACCCTAAAATCATTTTCGTTGCTACTTCATAACTGTAATGTTGCTACTGTTATGAATCGTCATGTAAATCTCTGATATGCAGGGTGGTCTTAGGCGACCCCTGTGAAAGGGTCGTTCGACCGCCGAAGGGGTCGCGACCCACAGGTTGAGAACCGCTGCTCTACTCTATATAGCGTCAGTTGGAGCAGCTTGTCTGCAGCTGGAAGGTCCTCTTCCACAATAACTCGCTCACATGGCTGGCCATCTGGTGCTGGCTGTTGGCTGGGGTCCTCAGTTCCTGCTAACGTAGGGCCTCTCTGTGGGGCGGCTTGGGCTTCCTCTTAACATGGCAGCTGTGTACAACAGGTGTATCCCAAGGGGGCTGGAAGGGAGCTTCAAGTCTTCTCATGATCTGGACTCCAAGTCCCTGAAGTCACTCAGGACAGCTCGGGTTCAAGGAGAGAGGAAGTAGATTCACCTCTGCATCAGTCCAGGTTCTCCAGAGAAACAGAACTACTAGCACAGATGTCTACCAATCATCTACGTACCCATCTGTTCATTATGCATCCATCATCTATCTATTATCTATCTCCATCTTCTGTTACTTATCTACATCATCTGTCAGTCATCTCTCTATATGGCATTAAATGTGTCCTGTGAGCAAATAT